CACTACAGGGAAAACTCAAATACGCTCTCGCAATTGTAATTATTTTGAACTCATCAATCAATACTTTCACATACCATTAAAATCCGTCAGAAACTCATCTAGAGTCTTAACAGGAAGCATACCTTTCTTAAATCGAGCAAAAAATTCTCTCACTTCGCTGAAGACCGAACTATTACCCTGAAGACAAATCTCAACGAGTATTGCTGAAATAACAATTGGGTCTTTTTACTTATTCCGCCCAAAAGTCAATATTTCAACATTAGCCAATCAAGTTTCAATACCATCTCAAAATGTTTCGTTCACAATATTAAGTCGAAAAATAAATGAGCCGAATTGGCCTAAAATGAACAATGTTTGGTAAATTACTGAAAATTAGTTCAAATACGCTCCAGAGTTTAACCTAGGTTAGAAAAACTCAAATAACAGTTCCAGAGAAGAAAATGACCACTTTCGTATCTGCTCAAAATTCGGCCGTTAGTAGTCGGTCGATCAGAGCTATAAAAATTTTGTCTCAGCATTTATACAATGAATATTGCAAAACTTTTGCAAAGATAAAGGTGATTGCAACATTTGTCCTACTTCCACAGAAAAAAGCCAGGCGTTTCGTTCTGACCACGAAGTGTGAAGGAACAATGTCGTTCCATATGTTTTTTTCGCCGGATTTCAAGCACAACAGGGAAAACTCGTAGGGAACAAGTGAGGTATTATATCAAAGCCCTATTACTCGTTATTCCGATTTCGAATAAAAGTATCGAAATTTGTTCCCAGTGTCAAGAACAATTGGTTTGAATTATCAGATTTTAGACTAATTTACATAGAACATTGGAGAGTTACATGGGCAAACTCTCGTGATATCTATTGTACGGTCTACTTCAAATTAGCAATAATTATTTCAGCTTCGCAGTTTACTATACTATCAAATTTTTTCTCCCGAAGAAAATATACTAAAACAAAAAACTTCAGAAATTCCAAAAAAAATTTTGATTTTTTTTTCACAATTTTTAAATTAGATTATTGTGGTCAAAATCCTGTGTTCTCATTGCAATACAACCGTTTCCACAGAGGCGAAGCAGAGCTTCGCATCACTTGCGTAAAACACAACAATAACTTATAAAAAGAAAAATGATGAAAAAACTAGGTCAACCCAAATTTTCATGTCTCGGTAAAATTTAATTCTAGACAATCAAGCAAAAAATTGAATATTAAATCAGCAACGGAACGATTAACAAAAATTAACGAAGCGGAAACAAAGCCGACAATTTTTGAGCAGACACTGGATAATTGGGGAAAAAATGATTTTGTCCGCCCTGAAACTAAAATGAACAACACTTGCAACTTAAATTAAAATTGCTTACAGCACAAGAAAAATCCGTGATGGGATGTGGCAACTATGCTGACAAAACTTGAGCAGACAAACTATAGTCCGAAAATTCAATTTTCACCGGTGAAAAATTCCAATTTCATACATGCTTAAAAAAACAAGGTCCGGCACTCGAACCCCAGAGCTTTGGGTTCAAAGGCGACCACGTTACTTATGTGCCAAGTGGGAACGAGCCCGTTAAGTTTCAATAATAAAGCAAGTAAGAAATGCAAATAAGATTTAAAGAACGGGAAAAACGTCTAGTTCCCGATAACAAGACACTTGCTCTCGCAATTGTAATTATTTTGAATTCATCAATCAATACTTTCACGTACCATTAAAATCCGTCAGAAACTCATCTAGAGTCTTAACAGTAAGCATACATTTCTTAAATCGAGCAAAATATTCTGTCACTTCGCTGAAGACCGAACTATTACCCTGAAGACAAACCTCAACGAGTATTGCTGAAATAACAATTGGGTCTTTTTACTTATTCCGCCCAAAAGTCAATATTTCAACAGTAGCCAATCAAGTTTCAATACCATCTCAAAATGTTTCGTTCACAATATTAAGTCGAAAAATAAATGAGCCGAATTGGCCTAAAATGAACAATGTTTGGTAAATTACTGAAAATTAGTTCAAATACGCTCCAGAGTTTAACCTAGGTTAGAAAAACTCAAATAACAGTTCCAGAGAAGAAAATGACCACTTTCGTATCTGCTCAAAATTCGGCCGTTAGTAGTCGGTCGATCAGAGCTATAAAAATTTTGTCTCAGCATTTATACAATGAATATTGCAAAACTTTTGCAAAGATAAAGGTGATTGCAACATTTGTCCTACTTCCACAGAAAAAAGCCAGGCGTTTCGTTCTGACCACGAAGTGTGAAGGAACAATGTCGTTCCATATGTTTTTTTCGCCGGATTTCAAGCACAACAGGGAAAACTCGTAGGGAACAAGTGAGGTATTATATCAAAGCCCTATTACTCGTTATTCCGATTTCGAATAAAAGTATCGAAATTTGTTCCCAGTGTCAAGAACAATTGGTTTGAATTATCAGATTTTAGACTAATTTACATAGAACATTGGAGAGTTACATGGGCAAACTCTCGTGATATCTATTGTACGGTCTACTTCAAATTAGCAATAATTATTTCAGCTTCGCAGTTTACTATACTATCAAATTTTTTCTCCCGAAGAAAATATACTAAAACAAAAAACTTCAGAAATTCCAAAAAAAATTTTGATTTTTTTTTCACAATTTTTAAATTAGATTATTGTGGTCAAAATCCTGTGTTCTCATTGCAATACAACCGTTTCCACAGAGGCGAAGCAGAGCTTCGCATCACTTGCGTAAAACACAACAATAACTTATAAAAAGAAAAATGATGAAAAAACTAGGTCAACCCAAATTTTCATGTCTCGGTAAAATTTAATTCTAGACAATCAAGCAAAAAATTGAATATTAAATCAGCAACGGAACGATTAACAAAAATTAACGAAGCGGAAACAAAGCCGACAATTTTTGAGCAGACACTGGATAATTGGGGAAAAAATGATTTTGTCCGCCCTGAAACTAAAATGAACAACACTTGCAACTTAAATTAAAATTGCTTACAGCACAAGAAAAATCCGTGATGGGATGTGGCAACTATGCTGACAAAACTTGAGCAGACAAACTATAGTCCGAAAATTCAATTTTCACCGGTGAAAAATTCCAATTTCATACATGCTTAAAAAAACAAGGTCCGGCACTCGAACCCCAGAGCTTTGGGTTCAAAGGCGACCACGTTACTTATGTGCCAAGTGGGAACGAGCCCGTTAAGTTTCAATAATAAAGCAAGTAAGAAATGCAAATAAGATTTAAAGAACGGGAAAAACGTCTAGTTCCCGATAACAAGACACTTGCTCTCGCAATTGTAATTATTTTGAATTCATCAATCAATACTTTCACGTACCATTAAAATCCGTCAGAAACTCATCTAGAGTCTTAACAGTAAGCATACATTTCTTAAATCGAGCAAAATATTCTGTCACTTCGCTGAAGACCGAACTATTACCCTGAAGACAAACCTCAACGAGTATTGCTGAAATAACAATTGGGTCTTTTTACTTATTCCGCCCAAAAGTCAATATTTCAACAGTAGCCAATCAAGTTTCAATACCATCTCAAAATGTTTCGTTCACAATATTAAGTCGAAAAATAAATGAGCCGAATTGGCCTAAAATGAACAATGTTTGGTAAATTACTGAAAATTAGTTCAAATACGCTCCAGAGTTTAACCTAGGTTAGAAAAAACTCAAATAACAGTTCCAGAGAAGAAAATGACCATTTTCGAATCTGCTCGAAATTCGGCCATTAGGAGTCGGTCAATCAGAGCTATAAAAATTTTGTCTCGGCATTTATACAATGAATATTGCAAAACCGCTAAATTTTGAAATTTGGGCGGAATAGTAAAAAATACCCTGACAATTTTAGCAGCTTGAAAACTATATATTTTGTTATCAAAACACTGCTTTCAACTTTGTCACGCTGAAGAAAAAAGGGTTATTGAAATTCAAGCTTCAAATTCATTAGGTGAAGTTTTTAAAAATTATTACGCTGATTGAAAATCCTTAGCTTTGAAACGGAAATATTACTAATTTCCCTTGTAATCATAGCATCATCTATCGCGACATTTAGTTTTCAGCAGATGTTTCTAAATAGTTTTAAAAATATGAGTGTGATTCTGAGATGTGCACCCAGTTTCAAACGTTTTCATATTCTTAGAGTTGAAGTAGCAGAATTGAATTGCCAGATGCTTGCATTTCAATCAAAGCATGGATGATGTTTAAGGCCTAAACACCGCAATCCATTTCCGATAATAACGGGAAAATTTCATATGCCGAGAAAAAATCAAAAGTGAAACTCGGATATGGTAGAATTGTATTGGATGGAGGAGCAATAAGCAGAATGGTCGAAGAGCAGAAGTGGTCTAAGAGCAGAAATATGTAAAATAGTGACTTTTTGATAAAAACCGAAGTTATTGATAAAAATATTGATAAAAACCGAGGTACAGTAAGTGGCTAATTCTAACAGTAAGCATTTTTATTTCTCTAAAGTGCTATCGAAACTGGCCTAGTTAGACAGCGGGTACGAATCATCCGGTTACCAACCCCAAGGCGTAGTTTCAAATCCCGTATTGGCCCTTGTTTTTAGAAAACAGGCGGGACCAATCATCTAAACAAGTTTTGTCACGGGACCAAACAAGTAAACTAGTACCAATATATGTATATTTTGATCATTTCATTGGTAGCAGTGGCGTGCGCTGAAATTTTTCTATGGGGGCCGCAGGCAAAATTCTCAAGAAACGGGCCAAAAAAAGCGTTTTTAGGCAGTTTTTGGAACTTTTTGACCGAAATTGCTTTTTCGGCGCGCGCTCCCCACTCAAAATTATTCATATTGGCGCCAAAGGCGCCTTTCGAAAGATTTTGAGGTTGGTTAGCAAAAAATAGATGTAAAATTTGCTAGTAGTGGCGACTCGGTTTATCGATTAGCACGTATGATTCAATATTTGTCGGTTTTTCTGTTCTTGGTCCCTTTCTTCTCTTGGACCAATTGGATAATAGTGGTCACGTGCACGTCTATAGCCAAATGAAATGTTTGAATAAAACTAAACTCAAGAATTTCACTGCTTAGTCATCAGTATACAAGACATTTTAACAAATATTAAAGATAGTTTCTTTTTTCTTAGTTCACGAGTCACTGCTGTCTAAAACAGCCTCCGCGTGTGCTAAATCCCAATAGTGTTCCACATTCAGTCTTTTCAAGTATTCTCTAACCAGACTAACGCTCTGGAACATCTTCGGCTTCAGCTGTGGAAAAGATCTGTACTTCACCACTCCTTCCCAAACTAAGTCACACTTGTTAGTTTTCAAAGCTTCGGATGTTTTCTCATCATTGGTCAACATTGACCTTTTCTTTAGATCTTCCTTCCAGTGGATCCTTCGCAACATTAAGTTTTTAAACTTCTTCTGTTGTTTAGGTCCCCCTTCAACTATAATAACAGCGATATCTTCTGTAATTAAAGAAACACCTGTCATCAAATATTGCTTCGCATTTTCAACAACTTTGAACTTATGAGATGGATTAAATAATGTCTTCAGCCTGTAAACTGCAACGTTGACTCCTGTAGTGATATCTTCTTTAAGTTTATCCATCTTTTTCTTACGTCGTTGCTCGTTCGTCAACTTCCGAGAAGCATTGGCCAGCTCGTGTGCTTTCTGTCGTTTTGCCATCTGTGCTTTGACATGAGCCTCTACTTTTGTGGGATCCTGAATGGCATCATTACCCAAAACTCTCATCAAATTGGAAATCTTAACTTTGGGTTCAGGTGGTGGAAGGAGACCCAGTCTTATTTTCTCTGTTTTCTCTTTTTCCTCCTCTCTTCTTCTCTGCCTTCTGAACTTTTTCTGCTCTTTTTTGGTCAAATGAAGTTTCAAAGGCTTGATTTCCGTATCATCATCAGGTGACTTGACTTGGGTAGGATGTTCCACCAAGTGCGATATGGTATTATACTTCTCAACTTTGCCTTGTTTATTCAAATTTCCCTGTCGCCTGCAATCTTCATACGTATTATTAGGCAGCAAAACTCCGTCCCACCATTCTACCTGAGGCAATACACCTTCTTTGTGTTCGACCTTTGGCTGAACAAGTGCCAATTTAACAGCCGCTTGGATTCCAGTTCTTTTTGCGGCTTCACTGATTTCTCCATGAAGTTTATCTAATTGCGCCTTCATTTTGATTTTCTTTGCCATTGTTTCGAACTTACCCGGTTCGTGGAATTTAAAATTTCTTCTCGGCTGCCGTATCGAGGGTTTCAAATCTACTCTCGGGTCAAAATGAACCGACGCCTCTGGTTTGCTATCTGAAGAGTCTTTCTTGATCATAGAAGTTGAGAGAAGCTGTTTGAATTCCTCGTGTTTCTTCGCTCTGATGTTCGCTTTTAGCGTTGGCATTCTAGGAGTCAGTGCCAACTTTTCTCCAGTTTGGGCATTTACAGTTTGACCCTCGTCGTCCAAGACCAGAGGACCCGGCATCTGTTCTTTTGGTTTGAGCTGGTCTATCAAAGGCATGGCCGACTGAGCTCCTCCCAGAAAAGCCGGTGTTTGAATTCCCGGAAAAATTGGCGTTGCCAGACCTTTGGTTGTTGAAAGAAAACCACCTGGTGTTGCCAAACCGGAGGTTACCGACGGAGCACTTCCAATAGGAACTGAAGGTGTGATCAAACCTGAACCTAACGCTGAGTTGATTCGACTTCGCAACTCGGCTGCTCGATTAGCCAAGGCATTTGTCGGATCACTCACTGCAGGTTTTGTCTCAGTGGGTGCAACCGAAGACGTTCCTGGAATTGTAGGTCCAATTTTCTGCTTCTTTTCCTCCAGCCATTTTTTGGCGTCACTCATCATTCGTTGAATTTCATCCGGCGTCAGACGCTTCGGCATTGAGTTATCTTCTGCGACTGCTGCACCATTCGATGCTGCTACCCGACTTCGTTTCGGGTCCGCATTGTTGTTGTCAGATACATCGCTGTCATTTGTCGAATCTGCTCGCGCTCTTTTAGCCGTCTGCGCCGCACCTGTTACAGAGTTATCTAGATTGTTCTGTTCTTGTTGTTGAAGCTTAGAAAATACCTTTTCTACTAACTTCGTGGCAGATTTGTCATCTAGTTTGGGCTGCAATCTGCTTATTATGTCATCTTTCTCGTATCTGAGTTTGATGCCAGACACCACCCGGTCAACAACTGACTCATCTATGTTTCCCAACACCCTCTTGCATTGTTTCTCAACTACATGACGAGTATTACTCATTTCAAAATCTGAAAACACAAACTGAGCAACTAAGTAGTACAAAATAAAGACTTTCAAAAATAACACTCCTCAAATAAACTTTTCATGATTTATCAATGTTACAAAAATAAGGCTTAATTAAGAACAATTGTTTCATTCATAGTTCTTATGATTTCTTCAAATTTGACATCCATTTTGCAACGAAATAATGCTTCAATCTAATGGATTTCTCTCATAGAACAAAACACGCGATTGCTTTAACATAACAGGTTTCCTCTTTTTTCGCATCCCTTTGTAAACTTACGATACTGGTTTTTCAAAATTGATATTTCTAAGAAATTTATGAACACAAAGAGATGTCCATTTAGTTTGAAGAAAAAAAATCAAATTTTAATCAAAATGCTGATAAATAAATTTAAAACTTACAATTCAAAAATTGGTATAAAAATCTTTTCATGTTTACAAAAGAGTTAGATTTTTCATTTTTGATGACTCTTCAAAATTTTACCACCATGAAATTCCAATTTTAACCAGGGGCGGATCTAAGATTTTTTTCGAGGGGGTGGGACGGATTTTCAAAACAATTTCGAAAATTGTCGACCTTTTTTTGAACCAAATTGATTTTCTGAGCTCTCCAAAATAGGGTCACTATAAAGACCCTATTTTGGCCAAATCCCCTCTCAATGCTCCCCTCGCAAAATTAGTATATATTGGCGAAAATTTTTGAAGAAACCACGAGTAAAAAAAACTTCAAAATGTTGTCTGGAAAAATGTTCTACTTGCGGAAAACGCGTCCAGAAACACATTCGAGCCCGTTTACTGAAAAGTCAAAAACAATTTTCGAGCGAAAAAAAAATTTTTTGCCATGAAAAACTTTGAACTATAAATTCTCTTCTGAGATTTTCAACGTTTTGTGCAATCCGGAGGAAAACATATAAAATATGGTTCCCAATAACGACCCAAAATTTGGTTAGTAAGCCGATAAAATACAAGCCGAAATCATTTAGGCCGAAAAAAATTTTCAGCAAAAAAACATCAAAAAAGGAAAATTTACGAAGCCAAGGCTTGTAGAATTACAAATTGTAGCAGCAAATGAAAACATAGAAAAGCAGCTACAATGAAAACCAAATAAGCAACTACAATGAAAACTGCCTACAGTAAAAAATCTAAGATGTGGCAACTAAGCCGACGAAACATAAAAAGCAGACAAATAATTAGCCGATAATTGTTTTGAAACGGAACGTTTCCCGTTTGAAAAAATAGAAATAGGCCCTGCTCAGACTCGAACCCAGGACCTTTGTCGCGTCAGCCGTATTCATTACCTCCAGACTAAGTGTACCAGAGGCGCTTAATAATTTGATACCATGATGAGCCAACTGATTCTGTTAAACACGTTGATAACACGTCTATATTCCGATTATTCATTTATATTGGGGTTCTTTTCCAGTTCCCCCTTTCAAATTCAACAAACATAAAACTCGGTATTTTGAAAGGGGGGAACTGGAAAAGAGCCTATATTGCCAAACCTGAAGATTGATTGAGTTGAAATTTTTGTAAATTGACTGCAGTAAAAATCTACTTCAACTCTGAAGTCAAAACTCGAAGTTCGAAAACGCAGTATTTTACGAGATATGACATAATTAAAATTTTCGAATTAAAGGTTAAAGTGTTTTGTTTGTCTAAAATTAGGTTGTTTGTAGCCAAATCTTGTAGAGAAAGAAAAACTAAACAACTAACGCAGATATCCCAAAGCCTATCTGATTGATTTCTGATTTTTTTCCCTTTAATACAAAAATGAACTACAAGAAATTGTTTTTCAGTATCGGTAACCTAATGTTTTAGATGCGTTCTCCGTTAAATTGTTTCTATTGTTAAGTCACAATATTCATGGTTCACAAAAATCAATAAACTAGCAGTTTAAAAGAAACAATCTTTTATGATCGTTTTTCAGATTTGATGGTTTTTTGTAACCAGAGCTTTTCAAGTGATTTGAGCAGATTCAGCAGACGACACGTTGCCAAATAGACCAGGGTCAAAAAAATTTTTCCAGTATTGTATTGAAATAAGTAGGCAAGAGTCATGCGCAAGTTCATCTGTATTTATGCGGCACAGTTTCCATTGCAGCATTGGGGAAGCCTAACATTTGCATAAGCTTCTTAATCTATATTTCATGATAATTTCCACTAAATTTCGACGCTTACTGCAGCGCAAACTATTCAACTTCGAGTACAATTGTTAAGCACTAAATAAGTCTCGATCCGCATCGAATGCTAGAACATGGTGTTTTTTCGACCATATAATGATGCAAAAAATATAATCATCAAAAACTGCTAAAAATTGCTTTTATTTGGTATGAAACGTAATGCAGCAACATTAAGATGAACCAAACTATTTAAAAAACAACACTGAGAGCCGGTTGCTGTGCAAGTAGTACCGAATGTTCCGACCACAATGATTTAGAAAACATCAAAAAGGCAGAAAATTTTTTTTCTATTATCTCAATTTTCTGTCATTTTTTGTTTAAGTAAAGGGTGACTGAATTAGTCGGAAAACAGATGAAATGATGGGTAATAATAGCTAAAAAAAAACAAAGTAAATTCTGTGAGGGGGATCAATTTTTGTCTAATTTAGCCTGAAAACGAAATTAGAGATTATTTTTGGAAGTAGTACAATTCAAGGAAAAACACACCTTACAGCAAAGTTCTTTTTTGAGGGGGTTGGTCGGAACAATGATCTTAACTTATGGCTCCAATATACACATACGTATAACAAGATCATCAGCTTACAGGTTAAATTGATTAGGTTCAATAACCGGTAATACTAGTGGTGATTAATTTGTATTCCACTAAATTGTGAGTTCTCAAAAAATATGATTAGTTGTTCTCGTGTCATACATCGGTGATGATATTTCTCGGATCCAGGCCCAAACACGAATGATGTCGGCTCACCGAATCAGAAGCGACCATCGTTGCAGCTTCCATGAACGCACTTCCTGTCGACAGATTATTAGCGCCTGCCGAGGAGGACAACTGACACTGCCCCCCTGACATCACTGCCAATCGGTCCCTTCGATGCTCCGATGTTCCTGCTGTCATTGACTGGCCTCGCGTGAGGCTGCTTGATTCCCTCCCACTTGGGAACTGTGCGTAATGAGGAAATTGCTGGTACTGTGATTCGTTCACAGCGTGACTACTGCGAACTCCGCTATGCGTGTTATGTCGCAGAGATCCCGAGGTGCCCACCCTCTCCACTCCTCTGTCGCCGCTGTTTTGTGACATCGATAGAGCTGTCATACGCAGATTGTTAGTCATCTCGTACCCCGAGAAGCATACAGATCCATTAGGCAATTGAGGATTCCTGCTTCCATGTCTTGCAGCCACGTGAAGTTGCATGTTAGGCGTATTCGGCACTGAAGCCTGTTGATCATTTCCATCTGTTTCCTTACGTTTCATTCGACTTGATAATGCATGGGAAATGGCAGAGAAGTAGTGTGGTTTGACCCAATGGCCAGATTCCTTCTCCTCCTCCTTATCTGATTCGTCACTCGATTCTTCCCAGTCTACGCACGCCCAGCCGTCCTCTTTCCAATCATCGACTTTTCTCTTAACCCATGTTGCCAGCTGCCAAAAAATTACAAAGAGCCAGCCTTCTATAAACGAAAACAGGCAAAAGAGAAGAGGAACCAGTAAAACATGCCCCACGGCATCGAGTTTAAACGAAGTCGAAATGACTGAAAAAGCGATTGAAGCATTCTGACAGCCGGTTTCGAACCCGACCGTCCTTTTTTGTTTCGCACTGAGGCAGAATAGGGCAGATAGCATATATCCCAGGACAAATCCCAGTATTGGCATAGTTGCAGTTGCTATCCAAATGTGCTTTGAAGCTTCGAGCATCAGTGACCAGTGCATAAACATGAAGAGCAGCATTGAAATAACGATTGCCAGGACACCGGAGAAGGACCCCGTCTGTGCAACAACACCTCGCATGTTGGGATACTTCATAATGAACATGTATCCGGCAGTAACTGGAATCAGAATGAGAAGCAGTGAGAGTAAAATTGAGGCATATGGAATGTCCAGCTCAGTATCCGCAGTCCAACTTCGAGTGTAGAGCCAAAGATTTGCGGGCATCATTCCGAACGCCATAATTGTAGACAGTGTTGTCATTGTGATACTCAACGAGCAGTCTCCGTTGGTGTAGAATGTGACCATATTTGACATGACACCTCCTGGAGAACATGCCATGATCAGAGCTCCTATTGCATGCGCAGCATCCATTCTAAGAATGTGTGCGACTACAAAAGCGACTAGTGGCATGATAACGAATTGAGAAATGAATCCAGCCAGAGGTCCCATTGGTTTCTGTACGTGCTCGCGAATATGTTTCAGCTTCATTTTCGCTCCCATTGCGATCATAATGAGAATCAAAATAAAAATATTGACAGTCGTAAATGCATTTTGTAAAGCGGTGTCTAAATTCTGCGCTGTCATTCCGACCTTCTCAGTTGTTGAGCCTCCAGTGGTTGCAAGATCAGTGACAACACCTTCATTACCATTTTCACCTGATATTGTATCCGGTGCCATGGTCCCCGATGTTTCGTAATTAGCGCTCATTCCGACTGACTGGTATCACTCTTGCATTGACGCGGCAAATAAAATCGCGATGCAGAACTAATAAATGATAAAATTGGAGAAAAAAACTGAAGTAAATTCGGGGCAAAAGATAAACACCAGAACAAGATAAAGGAGGTGAAGTTACAACTTGAGAATTTTCGTCACAGGTTTATTTGCTACCAAATATATTTCAAGTTTTCCACTTTAGTTCACTTTCGTTTATGGCACAGTAGTTGCCCGGAAAAGTGGGCTAAATAGTGGCCGGGAGCATTTGTAAGGTTGTAAATTTAAGATTAAGTGTCCAAAACAATGCCTGGGTACTGGCTGCGGGTTACCTGCTTGGACTCGGTTATAATTGAGCGCAAACTTATTTTGCAATGGAATGGACTTGAACCTATCTGTTAGTTACACTATCTTACTGTCTAATCAAATCGGTAGCAGGTTGAAAAAATAAAGCCAGGTCTAAATTCCTATTCATAGTCAAATCTCTGAGCTAGATAATTTCATGGCTGTTAGTCAACTACGATTATATAATGTGCAAATAAAGCTACTTGACACCGAAATGTGCTTTGCTCTGAAGAACCAGGAGTACCACAATGGATGTCAATCCAATATGAATTTGGACAGAAACGCGTCGACAATACGCTTATTTGTGCTCGGTCATTTTCAATAAAATGCATTACCAGAGCGGGACTTTTATTCACATTCCAGCGGCGGTAAAAACTGAATAGCGGCAAATTTGCTTGAGATGGAATTCTAGTAGGAGCCTGGTGGTGGTATGTGGAATTTATCGCTGATGGTATTGGTTATAGTAATGCCTTTAACTATAATTATTTTTGCGATTATTGCCCTTATTAGAGTGTTATAACTGGCTGAGCTCTGTGAGGAACACACACCACCATACTTGTGTCGCTTCTACACAAAAAATTAAAGCGCGATAAAAAGAACAGAATACCATATCGCATAACTAATGATGCAATATGCGACCTCTGTTTGGCATGATTAGACGCAATGCTAGAACATGGATAGCAATTGCAAGCAAATGGCAACCAGAAAATGGAAAAAAATAGAAAAACTACCAGGTGCACGCAATCGATTACCACCAGATATCCGAGATCCAATCATCATTAGTTCAATCATGAAAAATCAATACTAACAATTAACCCCACCCCTCATTTCATCATCACTACTGCAAACACAATTACCTCGGGATTTTATCGAAGCTCGCAAAACATCATTCATGACTTTGCACTCATCAATTGGAGAAATTTAAAATGAAAGAAGAACCGAAAGAAAGAATTTTGCATAAACCAATCAGATTTGGGAAGTCACAGAACTTAACAGCAAAAACAATTCGTGAAAAATCAGAGAAAATAGCAAACTACAGGGCTTTTGATAGGTTGTAAAATTTCTGCCATTTGGATTTTCTGCCATGAGAACATCCTTTTTCATGAATGATTAAGGTAACAGATTGCTCTACTGTTTTTGTATGAAGATTTCATGTAGATTAGAAGACAATGGAATGGTAGGCTAGTAACCAAGCCCTAAAATAATCCCCCTACTTTTGCTTTGAATAGGCCTAAACGAGTTATATGACTGATAATGATGAGTAGGCGGTACTGAATGAATTGGAAATGCATCAGAATTTCAATCCAGTCACTCTTCAAACTATTAAAACCACAGACACCTTCCTTCAAATAAGACACACTTGAATTAACACGTTGGTCTACTAAATCACAATTGGCGTAGAAACACGCCAACAAAACTACAACAACACATATACAATCAGTTGAAGCATTTCTGCTGACAACCTATCGTATTCAGCGGAGCAAAAACAGCTTCTATTATCTTAAATTACTCCAATGTAAGACAGTCATAGCCCAATGAAGACTACAAATCATCCAAAATTGAAACCTACTTTTTAGAAGTGTATAAATGTTTTGAGCAAGAAAAAATTTAAGCAAAAAATCTATAGCTAAAGCCTCCGAGCACGTTGAAAAATAAAAAAATAAGCAGAGCTTCAAACACAGAAACGAAGCGCAAGTTTGTGATAAAAACAAGTGCGGGATAAAAACAAAAATTTACAAGGGCTGGAAAAAATAATATATATGATATTCAGAATCACGAGAAAAAAAGGATCGAAGGAAGTTTTAAAATCATCAGATTGGCATGAAACACGAGAAGCTTTTTGCTGTGCAAGTAGAACAGAAGGACTCTACAGAAAAAGTAGCGCGTCTGGAAAAAATGTAAATTTTTATTAGCTTAGCAGCGGAATGAATTAAAAATAACTGAATTCGGTATCAATGGCAAGGGCGATTCTGCAATTTTCTCAAGGGGTGAGAGGATTTGCAAAAAATTTTCGAACATTTTCGAACACAGAGTTTTTTTTTCTGCGTGGTAAGATCTAAACAAAAAAAAAATAGGTATGTTCGTCGGTCATAGTCATATAAGCCAATCGAAAAACATTTTCTGTGGAAAAAATGACTAGAAAAACGAAAAAAAAAAATGTAAACAAATTCTAAATTTTCGAACCTTATTTTGACAAACCATATTAGCTCGAAAACATACCAAAAATCAAAAATTTTAAACTAGTATTTTTCAACACTGAGAAAGTTTTAAAATTAGTATAATGTCGTTCGAATCACGACTGAAAGGACTTTAATACGATATAAAACTCGACCCATTCCGATGAATATTTCCTGTACATGATTTTGTGTGGAAGACAAAAAACTAAAACACACCTGAATACAAAGTTTTTCCACAATTTTCAAATGGTCGGAACAAAAAAATTAGAATAATTAGTTAGATTATTATCAGTTCTATTCGGTTTTAAGATTTTGTAGGAACTCGAATCATGGAACTTTTTCACGAAACATCAAAAAAAAATTCGCTGAAATGAATCATTGGAATTGAATTTGTTCACTGTGTAGATATCCTCTTGACTAGAAAGATAGATAGATATACAAAGAGTGTAAAAAGATAGTTTTAGGACAGATGCTGAGTCTAATTTAAATTATTTCATTTGTACGTAAAATTTTGAATTACGATTATTTCGACAATTTTTCTGAAAATTCGAAAGTTGCAGCTACCTTTTCAGCTACGTTTCATCATAGTTACGCTAGTTTGAGCATCGCTACAAAAATTTATAACACCATATAGAACAAATTATAGCTCAAATTCGATAGTCTTATTGTGTTTTAAAAGTTTTAGCGTTTGGACAAATCTCCTGCTAAAACTCTTATCATTGTCTTGTAATGAACGCAAAAAACATGATGACTTCATTTTGCACGTAATACAGCATTAATATTCACCAATTAAAATTGCGATCCCAAAAACCTTCCCGAAAACGTGAGATTTCTACACAAACCATAAAAATAACATTGTTCTTGCCTCTCTATTTTAATGCATTTAAGACTCTATGCCTAATGTTAACACATAGCTTTAGTGCACCGGAATTCTATCACGTATCTTGAATTATGTGCAACATCTGCTATTCCTGTCTACATTCCGATAATAACACTTGATAAACGCAAGCGTAACAATTTAGGAGAAAACTGCAAACCCCACAGCATGAGTCAATTTTATGTTGACAGCAAAAAATGCCAAACAGTAAGAAAAAATGCTAGAAAAGTGCTTTCAAAAAAAAAGTGCTTTCTGTGTAACTAAGCAGACAGACAATAATCTAAATTAGCCAAAATTTTCTTTTTGCTAAAAACAAGTCTCAACTGTGATCGAACTCCCGAACTTTTTCGTCGCAGGCATGAGGGTTACAGCAACTTCGAACAAGTCTCAACCATCGAGCTAGGGAAGCCAAGCTAACAAAAATAAACAGACGGAGGATAGTCCGAAAAAGCACAAAAGCTCTGTTTAAAAAAAAGGACCCCGCCGGATTCAAACTGCAAGCCTTTGCTATCTAGAACTGCTGTTTTACCTCTACACCAGATGGTTGATTGGATTTGAATTTATAATTAACAAGCTGTAACAAAGCCGAAAACATCTGAGCAGAAACATTTCATGCCGAAAAAATTCAAAAAAAGTTCTTGTAAGTCCTTTTTGCCCTCAGAGCACGCAAACGCTCTTAAAATTTTTTTTCGGTCGTAACTGCGCAATTTTTTTTCGGTCGTAACTGCGCTACTAATTCGATATTAATTAGGCCAAAAATTATTAGGCCGATAAAATGAAAAATGAAAAAAAAATTAATAAATCGAGCTGGTAAAATTACAACCTATATGAACAGCAAATTTCAATTCAGCCGGATTTTAAAAAAACTTAAAGCAAGTGCTGTGAAAATTGTTTACAACTAAAAGAAACGATTCTTAGATGTGACAACTGAGCCGACAAAACATAAGCTGACAAATAACAGGCCGAATATTTTTAATCCGAAATATTTACCATCCGAAAAAAGAATTGGTCCTGGTCAGATTAGAACACAAGACCTTTCCCTTCCCGCTTCCCGGGCGTATTCATTACCACCAGGCTAAGAGTACAAGAGAAAATACAAAATAGGAATTCAATATGAAGCAAGGTACATCAGGAGTCCAATGAGTCCTGAAGACAAAGTTGTTACGGGAAAAAAGACTAGTACTCGATAGTAATAGCCTTGCTTATCGCAAGGGCAATTACAAGATAGTGAACAGAAAAGGAAACGACAGAAAAAAAATATAGTTTAACCGCATACGAATAAAATTTGCCATCGAAACTACGCAATATCAAAAAGAAAGTAAATAAAAATGTTCAAAAAACAGACTTGGTAGATTTACAATTCGTGGAAATTAGGAAAACTACGAATCCGACAAAAATTAACATTTTTACGCTGATATACATTTCAAGCTGTTTGACATAACAATGATCAATGCCCACACTGAAACGCTATTGAATGCCAAAACTTCACTTCTGGTAGCTCAAAAAATTGATCGAATACAACCGTTTTTGGTGTATATAAAAATATTTCAGCTGATGAACACAAACAATAATTTCGGTAATCAAATTTTTCTGAAGTCAAAATGAAAATTTGAAACATTACAAAAAAATTTCGTTAAAATTTCGAATTGATAACTACACATTATATCGTTTTAAACTTAAAAAGGCGAATATCCCAAGCTGCAAACATTCATATTTCATGTCCCGACTTCACTTTGGGCTGATCAAAAAGGAAGAAACTGTTTCACGGTGAAGCTGCATCAATACGAATGAAGTGGACTTAAAACTTTGAGAAAAGACGTTGGTGCTCGGAGTGAGTCGAGGTTTTTTACTTTTGCCTAAGCGTCTGTTGCAGTTTGAATGAAATGTTTGCAGGTATTAAAATGCAGTGCCATTCTGAGCAGAAACTAACAAACCTCATTTGCACATGAGCCAGTTATAGCAATGAAGAATAACACGCTGAAAAATCGATAAAGTGTAATACAAAACTTCAAGAAAGATTGAAAACTGATACGCTAGCTAATGAACAAACTGGTACAACAAGCCAGAGAAATGTGGTTTGAAAGGCAAAATTAGAAGCATCTGTACTCAAAGATCTCAGCGGTTCTTTATCGCTTCAAAATTTGAGAAGAATGACTTCTATTTCAACGATAAAGATAGGAATCATGTATTGGAAACCAATCAAAAGGAAGAAATCTTTTCTAATTTTCAGCCGCCGCAAAGCAATAAACGCCAAAACAGAAAAGAGGAGTTTAGAACGTCGAGATTTCGAGAAAGAGCCAGCATTAATGAATCACAAGTAAAACAGTTTTTTACGGATTAAGCAAACCGAAGGGAGAGTAAGACGAGATAATAGGGGATTTGCAGCCGTCTAGTAACGCCTTGCATATTATACAAAGAATCCACTGAGTTAGGCAAGTAACTTCCAATGCAGCCTTGGTAGAAGGATTAAAAATAAATCCTCAATGGTGCGAATTCTCTAAATGAAAACAACACTTTTCGCCTTCGAGGAATTTGGGGAAAAAATGAGGCTCAAAAAAAGCCAGGAAAAAATTATACAAGCAGCCAAGTCCTAATTAGAAGCAAAAAAGAACTTATTCGCTGAAAACTCTCTTAGCAACATTTGATTTAAAGCCAAATTTATGTTAACCTAACCAAAAATGGCAACAAAGAAAAAAAAAATCTCAGCATGAGATTAAATAGCACCACAGACTACTGAATAAATGCAATTTTTCAAAAGTAACTACATTTGAGATCGCAAAAAAACGAGTGACATAAAACCTAAGATAATTTTGGTTCTGATTCGAATCACCTGCTACCGACTGTCTTGAAACTGACAGTGCGGTTCATTATTGAAATAGCCTGCGGATAACATGTCCAGTTAGTGACTGGTGCTAAGTGGTTATGAGATAGAATGAACTGTTCAAACCCTGTCACCTCAGGCTATCACAAATCCAATAAACTAAAATCAATCGCTTGAAACCCTTAATTTCCGAAATCTAGAAAATATATACCAAAGTTGTAAAAAAGGATTGATTTCGTATAAGGAACTCTCGATTTTCAAGCAAAATCAAATTTAAAGCACTTCAGCCGTACTCTCATTAACATTGCCAACAGACAGCTTGAAAAATTTCTATGAACGCAAGGAAACCAAAACAATACTGACCAAAAAAAACTTCGGAACTTCAGACAAAAAATTACATGGCTTATAATCTCTGTGAGTTCTAACTACAAGTTACACTTTTGCTGTTAGATAATGGAATTTGCTTTCATCTAAAAAAGGAAATGAACTAAAATTGAAAAGAAATCAAAATTCAAACCGCGAAAACTTAAAATTGAGCGTAATAAATTTTATAACTTTTCCTGAAAAAAAAGAAACAACACGTCATACATAAGTCTTTTCAATAGCTTCATCGACACTAAAAAGTGCAATGAAGACTTCCAGAACAAACTTAATACCAATGGGTCGAAAACTATTAAAACTTGTTTTTCGCGGGGACAACAAACAGTTCTAGAAAAAGTTCCTTGATGAATCTCAAATTTTCAGCACCATTATAAATTCATATTTATCATATCACTATCAAAATAACAACAAAAAATGATTTCACATAGAGGCGAAGTTGAGCTTCGCACCACTCGCGATCAAATATGAATGACTATCAGAATCAAACGAAAAAAAAATCAAAAAATCGTTTTTGTCAATAGAAATTGCAAGCCCAAAACATCTGGAACAAAATTGCCTACACCATTAGAAACTCAACAACGAGCTTTGAGAATGCTATAAGCAATCCAAGTTTTCGAAAAACAAACTTTCTGCAGAACTAAGCAGACATAAATAAGCAGACAGACAATAATCTAAATTAGCCAAAATTGTTCTTTTTACAAGAAAAACAACTCTCAACTGAAATCGAACTCCCTGGCTTTGTTTTCTCAAGTATGGGGGTTAGAGCAACTTGGAATAAAGATGAAACATCGAGCTACGGGAACTAAGCCGACAAAAATAAGCAGACGGACGACAGTCCGAAAAAGCACAAAAACTCTATAGTTTGTACAGTTTGCGAAAAAATAACCCGGCCAGATTCGAACAGAAAATCTTTACCGTCTCAACCAGTTGTTTTATCTTTAAGCCAGATATGCAGGACGAACGATTGCAAACCCTATGAGGACCCAAACAGCACTCAACTACAGGGCTAGAAATCTCAAATTTTAAAAAAGTCTAAGTTGAGTTTTCTGAAAAACTACAAAGATTTAGGCAGTCATAATTGGATGCAAGGCTCGTTTAAGCTATCTGAAATTTTTTTGAAAAAATTACAAAAGTCTTATCTCGAAAATTACAAGGAATTGAGCCACCACATTTGGAGGCAAGATTCGCGAACTTGGAGAGTGCTCTGACAGCATCCAACTACAGGGTTGGTAATTTCAAGTTTTGTCAATTATTTTGTAATTTGAGTTTTCTGAAAAATGTTGAAAAAAATCAAAAATCGTCGTATCTCGTACACTTAAAAAATTTGATCACTCTAAATTAGAGGCCAAATTCGCAACCCCTTTGGTAACTCCGACAGCATCCTACTATTGGGCTGCTTATTTTAAACTCGTGCAATAACCACTGAATTCAAGCTGGCTGAAATCCGAAAAAAACTTAACCATATAGCCGAAACGTTAAATAGATGATACTAGCGTGTAACGCACCTCCGGTACTCAAAATAAACCGCACATATTGGAAAAAAGACATCCATTATTTGATTGCACTCTGACAGCACCCGATTACAAGGTTCAAAATTACAAAATTCAAGTTTTTCATGTTTTTTATTCAAGTTTTTCATGCAAATTTTGAAGAACCATAATATTTTGTGAAGTTCTTCGAAAAATTTAAAATGAACTACAAAACATCACATCAGGGAAACTAAAAGAAATTGAGCAGTCGCGTTTGGGGGCAAGATTTGCAATTTTTGAGAGAACTCTTATAGTACCCAATTAAAACGTTGGGAAATTCAAACTTTGAGAAACTTCACCTTAAGTTTTCTGCAAAAAATATTTTCTGAGAACATGAAATTTCGAAAACTTTCATGACTTCAACAGTCTTATTTGATGGTAGTGATCATAATCTTTGAAAGTACTCTGACAGCAGACAACTACAGGGTTGGGAACTTCAATTTAATGAATTATTTTGTAATTTATTTTTCAGAAAATTTCCAAAAAATTCACAAAAATCGTCTTATCTATTAAACAAAAAAAGATTTGGGCATTTTGAGATTTTGACATTACAGAATTGCAGGCCGAACGTGCAACCCTAGAGATAACTCTGACTGCCCCCAACTACAGGTTAGGAATTTCAAACTTTGAAAAAAAATTAATTTAATTTTCATGAAAATTTTTCGAAAAAATCACAATGATGTAAAATCGGGAAAACTTTAAGGTTTTGAGCAGTCATATTTGGAGGCAAAATCCGCAACTCCTGAGATTACCCTGACAAAGCCTCACTACATAGATCTTAATTTCAAATTTTGTGAAATTTTTTATATCCAAGTTCTCTGAAATATTTAGAGAAAACCCTAAAAAACGTCAAAATCCTAGAAAACTATCCTAGAAATATTTGACCAGTCATATTCAGCGGCAAGATTCGCAACCCGATGAGAGAACCCTCACAGATTTCAATGACAGGATTGAGATCTTCAAAGTTTTGGAATTTTTCAGCATCTAAGTTTTTTTGAATACTAAGTTTTTTTTGAAACGTCGTATCTCGAATACTAAAAGGATTTGAGCAGTCATATTTAGAGGCAAAATTCGCAACCCCTGAGAGTACTTTGACAGCGCCTCACCAAATTTTCAGAAGAAATAGAAAATATTACATCTTGAAACTCAAAGCACTTAAGCAGTCGCATTCGGACTCAAGATTTTCAAATCCTGAGAGTACCTTAGCAATACCTAAATACAGGGTTAGGAGCTAAAATTTTTTTGAACTTTTTCAAATCTAAGTTTTCTGAAACTTTAAAAAGAAATAAAAACGTCATATTTCAAAACTACGAGATTTGAGCAGTCATATCTGGCGGCAAGATTTAAGACTCCTCGAGAGTATCCTGACAGCACCCTACTACAGGGTTGGAAATTTCAAATTTTGTGAAAATTTTTAAATTTTATGAAATTTTTAAACAAAATCACAAAAAACGTCTATTTCGTAAAAATATTAGGATTTGAGTATTCAAAATTGGAGGCTTAAACGCAACCGCTAGGAAACACTGACAGCATCCCTCTATAGAGATGGGAACTTCAAACTTGGTGAAATTTTTTATATCTAATTTTTCTGAAAAAAATTTTGAAAAAAGAAATCCTAAAAAAACGTCATATCTCGAAAACTGCAAGGATTTGAGCAGCGATAATCAGAGGCAAGATTCGCAACCCCTGAGAGTACTCTTAAAAAATCCAACAACGGGAATGAGATCTTCAACGTTTTGGATTTTTTTTAAATCTAGGTTTTTGAAAATTTTTTGAGAAGTCATAAAAAAACGTCATATCTCGAAAACTACAAGAGTTGAGAAATGAGATTTGGAGGCAAGATTCGCAACCCCTGAGAGTACCAAGACATTACCCAACTACAGGGTGGGAATTTCAAAAATTAGGAAATTTTTCAAAATTAATTTTTCTAGAAATTTTTGAAAAACCTCGAAAATTGCCTATCTCGTAAACTAAAAGGATTTGGTTATTCATATATGGAAGCCAGAATCGCAAAACCTGGGAAAACTCTGGCAACAACCCCCTATTAGGTTGCTAATTTCAAACTTGACGAATTAAACACTAAATTTAATCTGGAAAATCGAAAAAAAAACCTTAACCATAGCAATATACGATATAGCTTAGACGTGAAACAATTCTGTTGTTAAACAGGCAAAAATTATCATGCTTAAACATGGGAGATAGCTGTCAATCGCACGCATTTAAAAATAGTATAGACACATTGAAAAAAAAATCTCAATTCGGACGGATTTTTAAAATGCTAAAAAAATTGCAGGTAAAAATTCTTTATAGCTAAAATAAACGATTCTTAGAAGTGACAACTAAGCCGACAAAACATAAGCAGACAAATAATAGGCCGAAATTTTTTTGAACCGGAAAATTAAAACCGTAAAAAAAACCGGTCCTGGTCAAATTCAAATCCACGACCTTTTCCATTCCTGGCGTATTCGTTACCACCAGGCTAAAAGTGCAAGATACGCTACAAATTTTGATCTCATTAAGAACCAAGGTACCAAAGTTGTGGACAAAGTTGTTTACGGGAAAAAAGTTTAGTACCCGATTGCAATACCCTTGTTATCGCAATGATAATAAAGGCAATGAATAATTGTGCCTGTTTTAATTTTTCTAACCTTTTAGAGCTATGGCACGCGGACAAATTTATCAGAATTATTAAAACCTTTGAAGTCTTTGCACACACTCGTCCAAGAAACTCCAAATGAGAGAAATGCAATTGCTTGCATCTGATAGCAAATCAAAGCGAAAGTAAAAATTGACTATATTTAATTTCCGGCGTTTAATTATCTATGCCTCACTCTTTACTTTCATTTTCGACGAAGTAAAAAAGGGCGTAGGATTGTTAAAAAACATTTTCAACATAAATTAATGGATAACTAACCAATTGTGATCTTAGCCAAAAATGACTTGAAAATGATATTAATTAAATTGGATAGAAGTGGAAAATAATAATCCACCATTCAAACAACACAAGTGTACTTTCAAATTAGACAAACATTAAAAACAGAAGATGACTTGCACCAATATCTGCGACAGTTTTTGAAGATGGGAATTTTTTCAAATTAAAATCCCTTGATGTGAACAACGTCC